TCAATCTTTTACCAAGTTTCCCAAATTAAAACTTATTTAAACTTGTCCTGGAGGGGAAAAAAGAGGGAGGAAAAAGGAATGCATAATTATTCAGTGAGGAATAATCACATACTGGGCAGACACCTGACTATAAGGTAAGGACCCAGAGTGATATAAAAATGCACCCACATATTTCTTTACTCTCTGTAGTGTTTATAACTGTTTAGGTTATAAACTCATTATCATTAACAATTAACTTTTCCCAAGTACTGGTAGACACCAGGCCCTATGCTATTGCATAGTGTAGCATTTTCTGAGGGGGAGATGGGGACAGCCCCTAGGTAGCTTGTCTCTAACAACAGTAGCCTTTCATGTTCACGGTCAGTGAGGCACAGAGCTGCTCCATCTGGTGGAAAAGGTCCTTTACCAGCACCACACACACACACAGATATGCATATTTCTATATCTATCTATCTATCTATCTATCTATCTATCTATCTATCTATCTATCTATAAATACACAAACACACATACATAGGCATATGCATACCTATACTACAGTATGCTGTTTGCATAAATAAAATATTTTAATTCCTCCTACCTTCAATCCAATCTTCCCTGAGGTCAGGACACACAGAAATGCCCAAGAGTTTTTAGGCGGGTGCTGCAGTGTCCCTCACAGGGTTGCAGAGGCAACACCGCAGACCCGGGTGTCTTTGGTCATTAAAGCAGCAGCATCACCAAGCTCTGGTACCGAAAGATTAGTAAGCCAGCAGAAGACTACCAATCTCATTCAAGATCACAAGATTTTTGTTTTCCCCTGAGCATAAAGTCTATCACCACTTCCAACCTTACTGTGTTCCCTAATCTGCATAAGTTCTTTGGTTTAAAAAAAAAAATCAATGTACAAATAAGAGCATTCTTCTGAAAATAATGCTGGGCATTCACATTCTCACAAATGGAACATTCTGAGCATACCTCTGCATGAGTTACACAAGATGACATGAAAACTTTCTAAAAATTTTCCCCAGGAATACATTTTTTTAAAAAAAATTTTCTAAAATATTAAATAATATAAATCTTCTAAATATTTATGTTAGTCTAATATTGATATTATTCTTCAAAGGAAATGCATGAAATAGTATCATCAAAATAAATATACAAGGAATATTTAAATACATTTAAGAAGGATGGTCTCAAAAATTATATTAGAGACCCTTCACAGTGACATATGGAACTCTTATAAAAGAAAACCTTATCACTTCAACTTATTTAAGATCACTCTTCCCACCCTGACTGCTGTGCTCAGTGGGTTGGGTATCATCCTACAAACCAAAAGGTGCCCAGTTCAATTCCCAGTCAAAGCATATGCCTGGGTTGTGCGCTAGGTCCCTGATTGGGGGCTCGTGAGAGGTAGCTGATTGATGTTTCTGTCTCTTATCAATGTTTCTCTTCCTCTCTTTTTTCCCCCTTTCCTCTTTCTCTAAAAATAAGTATATAAATAAAATAAAATCACTCTTCCCTAGCCCCTTCCCCCATTACACTTATACTATTAAATCTTCTGTTTATAGTAAAAAAGCCATGCAGAAATTTAAATTACAATCTATGTCATGCGGCTGCATATTCGATAGCTAACATTGTTCAGAAATAGAATATATTTATCTATTTGAACATTTTGGTTGTTGTCATCATTAAACATTGAGGTTTTTTTTAAATGGGTCAGGAGTAGCTGCAACATGAAAGATGGGGTACCAAATCACAATCTTAAGATATCCCAAACTGCACTCTAGAATATCTAGAATCACTCCTAAGAAATCCAGAATCAAACTTCTAAGATATTTCAAACTACACAATCACTTTTAATCATAAACAACATCAAAAAATTAGCCATCATGTTTGCAAGTTGAGTCATTCCTGAATTATGGAACTATTAGGAACAAAGTCCCTCAATCAAACTGCTTCATAAAAACACTGACATGGCACTTGCTTTGGCAGCACGGCCCCTGCCAAGGACGACACATAAATGTCTAATTACAAGGTTGCACGCCTGAAAGAAACAGAACATTGTATATCCACTGTAATTTAAAAATAAAAGTACTTTTATGAAACACTGATATAAAACAAATTCTACCCTCAGAAAAAAATTTTAACACTAAATATAATTTTAAAAGCAATCAAAATTTGGGGCATTCCCATTTGGGGTAATCTTTGCCTTGCTCTCTACCTGGAGAAAATATCTTTGTTTAGAATATCCTGAGAAAGAAACTAGGACCCATCTAAATATCTCTTCAAAGCACACCATTTAAGTTGCCACCTCTGTCTACGCATAAAGGATTAGGGAAACAATATTCATTAGACTGCATTTATTAAACAGCAATTACATTGCACAAATATGTGCTATGCACCTTGCAGAAAGGTAATGATGCCACATGGATCTCACAGTCTATTCAAGAAGACATGACATACATATAAATTATAGTACAGGACAATATATGATAACCATCAATACTGTAAAGTGTCAAAAAAGCGTGGAAGTCATAGGCAACAGTTCATTCCAGGGAGATCAGGGAGCCCTTATATAACCGTGTCATTGGAGCTACACAAACTAACTAGAGAAAATGTGGGTGGTAGGGTATTCCACATGGAAGACTTTCATAAATGTGTGGAGGTGGAAAAAGTAGAGAGTATCTATAGAACTAAAAAGTCATGAGGCTGAAGTTCAAGATATTCAAAGGGGAAAAGCCTACTTAATTTTGGAGAAGAAAATAAGGTGCCCCAGGATCCAGGTTTGGTAGTTTAGACTTTAATTCAGTACTGAATTGCTGTCCCTGTGGGGTTTTTGTTTTTTTGTTTGTTTGTTTTATAATCAAAGATAGTGCCACCAACAGAGTGGTGTTGTAGTTTAACCTGAGGGTGGAGAGTAAATAGAACTCAGGGTTAAAGAAAGAAGTTCTCAACAGAAAGTGAAAGATGCCAGCCTGTGCCAGGCACTGATAGTATTTCATTTAATCCTAACAACAATTCGGTTATAAAACATTTTTAGATAAGAAAACTGAGGCAATTCAACAAGATCTGGCAGCCCAGAAACAAAGAGCTGATTGACGGGAGTTATTCAGGGTTAGGGCCCCTGGAGACAAACATGCTGGAAGGTGAAGAGGGTGAGGAAAATCTAGGGTCCTTGTAAGTACAAAGGCCCTGGGGATGATTAATGCAGAGTCCAAGTTAAAGAGGAAAAGAATGCAGCAACCTGAAAGCAGTCATAAATTAGACCTAATAAGGTGAAAGAAGAACAAATCCAACTATGGAAGACAAAGTGGATGAGCTAGATGCACTGTGTTCAAAGGAGGACGCTTGAATTTCAGTAACAGGACAGGAGAAATAGACTACAGATGTAGGCTCCCTGAGTTCAAGAAACAGAAGAGAAGTTAGCTTGGGGTAACATGAAAAACTCTACAATAATTATGATGGTAGATAGGCTACAGAAGAAAACCATGATTCTAATACCGAGGTCACTGAAGTTTAAAAAAAAAAAATCTAAAGAATGCAGGAGGCTGATGGCAGAGAAGCGGGTGGTATGAACTGAGTGGTGCATCCAGGAAGAAAATTTTGGAGTACTGATAACGAAACTATTGCTACCTGTCAGCATCAGTGAAGAACTAAAAAACATGCTGACAATTTTTTTTTAATGTACTTTGAATTGGGGGGAGGGGGGAGAGGAATTGCCTCTACTACCCATAGCCATGTCCATTGTCATTATCTTAAAACCAGGGTAATGGTATTATTTCAAGGATTGAAGATAATGGCCTTTGTCTCTAACTTACAAGGTTCCTTCCTCACCCAGAAGAGGCACAACCCAGGTGATTGCCTGTATCTGAGGTTGAAACTCACCCAGGACAATCACAGGTTTTTCAGTCTCCTAAATATGGTTCAATGTGTGATTGCCAAACTATTTTTGATACAGAATAAATGACAAAATTCAACTTACATTTAATGGGAAGTTAATATACAACAGTAAGTATTGTTTGCTGAATGCTGAACTTTTCTATGTTCATGTACTTTCAATAATTTGTAAAGTTATACATAATCTTTATAAATTATAAGATTAAGTTTATATTTAAGGAGTTCTCCTAGATAAAACCACATTGTAAGAATGCATGACCCAACATGTTACTTATTTATTCTTTTGGCTTACACACACACACACACACACACACACACACACACACACACTATACAAAGGTCAAAACAGCTTAAATTTCTAAAGCAGGATCCCTGATAACAAATGGGTAGTTGAAGATGAAAACATGGAACAAGACCAAGCACAAAATGCATGTAAGTTTCCACTTGAAAATGAAGTGGAAAATTACATTTGGTTTTATTCCATTTTTCCAATTTTTACGTAGGTATTAAAAATATCAGTCTCCTAAATCACAACTTCACTTTTTGCTGGGTTAAAGTTTAATTTTACATATCTAGTAAACTTATCCACATTTTTAGTAAATTAACCAAATTATTTAGTGGTGTAAAAAATTCTGCTTGCTTCACAGATAAATTTATCTGTTTTGATAAAGAAGAGGGCGTTACATTTTAAGAATAGTTTGTAACTTCAGCAAAATCAAATTCAGGGAAATAGCTTAAAAGAAAAAGAGTAATCTTGGGAGGAAGAGAAAGGGTTTTCTTATAGGTCACTGGCCTGCTTTTCTGAGTTTGGCTTACAATATCAACACAATTGATGACTGCCCCTCCGAGAAAGGTTATTTTTTAAAAAACTTATTAAATGACTAACAAATATAAAATAGTTCTAAATTTTAAGTCACTTTTCTGGGATTGTGGAATCCATAGTATTGATATTCAAACATTGTTAGAAAAATTCTAATAACTATTAGCATTTATTTTTTTAATTGATAACCAAATTGAGTGATAAATAAAGTTTTGTTGAAAAAAATAAATTTAAAATATACAACAGAGGACTTCATTGACAGCAGAAAGGAATTCATGGTATTTCATCCACTCTATCATACCTTCCATGAACAGTTGTAGATTTGATAATATCCCCAGGTAGAACTACTGAGAGCTCGATGTCTTTATCTATCATGCTTTCTTTCTGTTCCATGGTGAGAGCAGTGGATTCTACAGAATCATCCACTGAAGAGGCATCAGGGTTTTTGGTCTCAGCTGGAGGAAGTGGTGCCTTGGCTTTCAGTTTTCTTCTAAAATAAAAACAAAAGGCAAAAAATGAACAATGAAATAAAGGAATTCTTTTTTGCCTTTTTTATCAGCACATTTTTTGTTTGTTTTCAATATATGCTATATTACTTGGTAATAAAAGAAATATAACAAAGAGATCTGATATTTGCCTTCATTGAGTTCATTTAATACGTGATCACTATAGCAAAGCAAAAGTATAACATTTTCTTTGATGAGATGAATTATGGAGATAAGTATCTTATTCTCCTACTTCATAATAGCTCTCACCTCTGTGCCTTTCATTTTATTTGTTTCCATTCTAGTGTCTTCTACCTCTCTATCCATGTAAACCTGACCTACCCTTCAAAGTCTAGCTGAAACTACCCCCCTCCCTGCCACTCCTTACACAGTCTCTCCATATATAACACATACGACAGATTCCATAAATGTAACATTTTTTTTCTGGGTACAAGTTTCATCTCTCTGCCTACATTTATAACTCCTTACAACAAAGAAGGACATTATATTTCCCACTGCACTTAGCAATGAACAATAAACTGTAATTGGTTATTTGATCTATTTTTGTTTCAATGAAAAATGTTACAAATAATTTTTCAAGCAAATATATTTCAGTGTCACTTACTAGGACAACCCTCAATAGATTTGTAACAGAAATAGGTAGTAGATATCATGGAAAAATGTACATGGGCCAATTCATTGATTTGATGGGTTAAAAAAAATGAAATATACAAAGAAATATAAAATAACTGTAAGTAATGACATGAGTACTACAAGTTAGAGCTTTTGAAAATGTTACCTTTGTAAAAGGCTGATTGCTTTTGCAAAAACACATACTACTGCTTTCAAGTCAGAAAAATATAAAATTTAATTCCTCCCTCTTCCCATTTTCCAGCAAAAACAAAAATCAAATGAGTAAAATGGCTTCCTCTTAAGTAACTATTTAACATCCAGCTCTTTAGTAGTTTTAAAATTTAAGGTCGCACAAATCCAACCACCTTTATGCACTCAGCAACATGAAAAAAAACAACAGCAATGTTCCTATATTTATATTAATTTTCTAAAATAATAGGCCTTTAATTTTTAGGAGAATAATTGTAAAGATAGGGAGTCTGACAGAAGTAACACTTGCTTGAGTGTGGTTGATAGGGTAATAGTATGGATGTAAATAATTTATAGTTTAAATTGAACATTTCACCTAAAACATCATATGGTATGCTTAAATTTGATGTTGTTATGTTACAGAATTACATGCTTATGATATTATAATAAAAAGGGGGTGTTATTTGTGCTGGACCCTGTATATTTAAATTTAGAAAAGGTTTCTCTTACAGTAGTAACAAAGATAAATATTTAGAATTGTTACAATAAACATAACAAGTTCATAAAATTTCTGTGAAAAAGCTTTAACCAACTTTAAAACATTTTTAATCTGTAGAAATTGACTGCTCATGGTATTCAATAAACATTTATCCTGTAACAGAAGATCATGTGGCAGATTCAGGTAAACACTGGGAATGTACAGATGATCTGACCCAGATCCCACCCCTAAAGGGTTTGTGCCCCAAAAGGACTGACAGATATATACACAATTATACAAAAAGTTTGATGACTGCTCTAATACACATATGCTGATGGTACAGCTAAAGCTCATAGGAAGAGAAACTTTCTCAGGAACCCAGAAATGTTTCACAGATGTGATCATGAGTTGGGTTTTGGGGAATGAATAGAAACTCATATGAAAACATAAGAAATAATTGATATTTCAGGCAGAGGAAAGCAGAAAGCAAATGGAGCCATGAGAAAAAGGGATACTTCTTAGAATTGGACAGTTTGGTAAAATTCTAGAGAAATCAAAGGAGAAGAGATACCACTGAATCAACTAAAATGACTTTATAAATAAGAGAATTTGGTAAGGAGGCTTGGTACAAAGTTAACATGTTAAAGTCAATAACTTATGTAAACACAAGCAAAAGCAAGTCAGAAAGTATAATAAACACAAAACTAGCTTCTTTTATGATAGCAACAAAATGAAATGTTTTAAGTTGTTGCAATAAACATAACAAGCACTTATAAAATCTACATGAAGAAAATCTGAAATACCAACTATTGAGCTTCGATCTTTCTCTTCTACTTCAGATTTGTAAATCTAACACTGACCTGACAGCTGAACTTGGACTAACTCAATTTAACTTCTGATTCCTCTCCCCAGCTTCTCCAAACCAAATCTTTTCCTCTCCAAGTCTTTCCATCTCAGTAAATCACGATTCTTTCAGTTGCTTGGGCCAAAAATCTTACACATACCTCTTTCTTACACATACAGTGTGATCCATCGATAAATTCTGACAGCTCTGTACTGTGTCATAAAGAGATCCAGAGTCCACCAGCGGCCCCGCTCACCAAACACCTCTGTTCAAGCTGCTAATGGGTCTTCCTGCTCCCAAAGTTGTCACATAATATTCTGTCTTCACTGTTCCAACCTAGCAACTGGCATGATCCTTTTTAAATTTAAGTCAGATCACTGCTTTTCTTCTCACACTCTCCAAAGTCTTCAATCTTCACCCGAAATAACATCCAGAGTCCAATGTGTCCTAGACCTCTGGCCTCTCCAGTCTTCTCTCTCCCACTTTCTCCCTAGGCCCCTCGCACTCCAATCTTAGGACTCCCAAGTTTTCCTTCAAAACACCTACAGCATTCCCAATTCAGGACTGTCCACAGGGTTTCCTCCTGATCTTAAGATAACATCTCTATTTATCTGCTTTATTTTTTGCCTTAGGGCTTATCAGCAACTAACATCCTCATTTGTCATATCTTCTTCCATTACAGTAATTAATTCCATGAGAATAGGGACTTATTTCCACTGTCATGTGACACATTTACAAATGTATAGTCTCTGTAACGATGCCTGCCACATACTAAGCACTCATGTTTACTGAATTAGAGAATTCAGTGAATATTTCCCACAAAAGATGATGTACTTAGGTAAATTGAGAAGGAAAACAGTGCTTACCACCAAGGAAGAAAATGAATTTTTATATCAGGATTACCCATGTTGAATTCTTTTAATTGATTGATTATATTTTATTTTTTTAAGACAGGTAATAAAAAAATACATACCAGATTTATTAGAAATGGATAACTTAATTTTTGCTTCAAAAGAGTTTCATAAGGCCAGAAAAGCAGCCCAACTGCCACAGGTAGGGAAGTAAAGCATCAGGAACAACTTTGCCACAGTGCACTTGGCTTTCAAAAGGAGTGGCAGTGAAGGAAGCTCTGACAGGTACCTCCTGCTGCCACCATGACCTTCTTATGGCCTGCCTGCATCATTCCACGCACATTCCCATCTCCAAGTGTTGCTCATCCTGGTATCTGTTTGAATCCCCTCCTCATCTTCAAGAGACTGAGTCACAATTTCTTGGATGTCCTCCCTGTCTACTGCATACTGCAGTGAACTCCTCTGACTCACCGTTTTAATGTTCTCAGTATGTGCAACTATCTTATTTCCTAAGGTTCTTTGAGTCTGTGATGAAAACCCATCTCCAATTACTAAAGATAAGCCTGCTTAAAAAAAAAAAAAAGAACAAAGCACTAATTGAAATATTATTTACATAGAACTTCTATTAAGAACATCTTAATGTTCCCTAGTATTGCTTTAAATAATAAAGTATTGCTTTTAATAATAATTTGTTACCTTTGGTCCTGAAAACTGGAAAGCATATTTGAATCAGACTGAGATCCTTCCACAATGAACTAGAAAGCCCACAGGGAAGATGTAATGTGTAGGTAATTAAATAATGAATACAAAGCAAAGAATGGGTAATCTTGAACATTCAGAGCAATGAGAACAAGTTGAAACTAGCTCCTTGGGGGTGTGGAGGCAGGTATCAGGGTATACTTCAAAGAGAAGAACTGTGTGACTCAGTTCTTGAAAAAAAAAAGTAGAATTTAGACAAGTAGAACCCTGTAGGATCAATTATACATTGGTTCCCAGTAGGATCAATTATATGTTGGTTCCCAGTTGTGATCCATTTACATGAAAGTTAGGAATGTGTCTCTCTAGTTCAAGTTTGCTGATTACATAGTGTAGACTGGTGAAAAGAATACCAGGTAGAGGCCTGGATTTGACCTGAATCTGAAATAGCTTTAAGACTATGTTAATTTATTTGACATTTTACTCACCAGCAAAGATTTACACATACCTTTGATCTACTGACATTTCTCCCAATGTTCTTACTACTCATATCTCTCCCAATCTTCTTAATTTTTTGGTTGAGATTCTTTGGATCAATAACAAAATTAAACTAAATGTCACCCAAATTCAAAAATACAGTGAAAATAAACAGAGGTTATAACCAACCTAATGAGTCAGAAATCCTGGTTCAGTTAAAAAAAAAAAAAAAAAGTAACAAATCAACATGCAATAACAACTACGGTTTACTAGTTTTCATTAATATTTTAAAATCTCAGGAACTGCCATTGAAGTCCCTGCACCCCTTTTAAACAAAAGCCAGTTCTCTCACCCAAGGGATTTTCACATAAACTCTTCGTCACCAGTGGCCTAGTTTGACTCTCAGCTGCTACTCCTCAGGGGCGCCTATCTTTAACAGTACACAATAGCAAATTTTACACAAGGGTGGGTGCAGAGGAGGTTGTACTGAAAGATATTTGAGACTGAAAACTTCTCTAGATCACAACAAAAATTCATTAATCAAGTCTTAAAAATAGCCAGCCACAGTATATTATAGCATAAGTAAATCAGTGCTTTATCCATTAAAATTATCTCAACATTACATCCCATTTTCATAATGAGAATTAAGGTACAATTTCACACTGCACAATAATACATTTAAAATATCAAAACCTAATTTTAATGCAGAATTCAATTGGCATCCTGCTGTTACTACTGATTGTTTTTTTTTATCATTTGATTTACAAAGCACTTCAAAATTAGTTGTCCATGCTAATCATTACTCCATCCCTGTCAATATTAACATCTTAATATACA